TTCATGCTCTTGAAAAAGGGGTGCCTCTTCACTTCTGTTGCACCTTCCCCTTGACATCCTAGCCGCTGCTTCACATCTTTGGTGAGGAGCTGAAACATGCCAAGAGGAATGGTAAAGATGGAAAGGATGTCAGAAAAGCAAGAGCTTCACAAAGATATTTTTATCTGCAGTTGGTTTTGAATGCGTCCAGAGGGAAGTACAGAGGGGAATCGTAATTGCTGTTACTTAACAGCTGAAGCTAAATAGATTAGGACTGCACTGTTCTACATGCTGGTGAAGCCCTTTGAAAATTACCTGCTGTAAAGTGTTTACAGTCAAAATAGAGACAGTTGCTTCTGCTTACTTTCAGTGAACACTTTCAAGAAGAGGTCTGACATATCCTAATAATGTATATGGATGCATATTCATAAGTCCCATGTGCTTTTTCTCAGTTCTTTTTTTTTCTTGTTACTCTTGTAAGAATGATTTCCCCATGTTGCTTAGGCTGAATGACTTCACTATCAAATTTTATTTCCCTCCACCCATTGCAGTATATTCCAGTACATCACATGACACATTGAACCAACCCTTTGTGCTCATGGGCTTATCTCTGCTGAACTCAAGGGGAGTTTTGTCCATGGAACCAGTACTGGTAACCATCCAGTTCAGCCTTGTTTGTTTTCAGAGAAGGGCAATGCACCACCTCTACCTGCTACAGCAAGTCCGGCCTCTTTCCTGGGTACTTGTAATGGAGCAGTGGACACTAACTGAACTCAGCATCCTTGGTCTATTAGATAAGCAGGTCCATGAACACAAACACAGGGGTTGTAGGTCCTGGAAGACCTTGTATGGATGGACTAATTGATCTGCAAGAGACCAGTTCAATGGAGAAACAATTCTGGCACAGACTAGTTGGTGGATGTGGAGACAGAACATGTAGCCAAATCTTCACCAAAATGCCTCTTCTTTTAAATCATATGCATAGAATCAAGTAGGCTAAATCAATGTCTTAAGAGATCATGTCTAAACAGTTGAAGAGAGGCAGAGCTCAGCATGCAAATGACTGGTGCAAAAAGGCCATTGCTTGGGACAGGGACTTTTCTAAATGTACCACTGACTTCAGACAATCTGCTGAAAAGTGAAGGTTTGCAAATTTGTTTCCTTTTTTTCCCTCCATTCATCTTTGAGGGAGCCTTCATTATGCTCTCTTAGATAGAGGAGGGAAAATACAACTCCAAACTCACCATAATCTGCCCAGAGATTTCAACTGCCTATTAAAGAGATGAATAACATGTGCCTTAAGACAACAGAAAACAAACACGCATTGAAAACAGTCAAGGCCAGCTTTGCTGCAGTCTCCACTCTGGGGGAAAAGACTGCATACTTACACTGCAACATCATGGAGGAAATAAGAACACCAGCCTTTTTCCACAGGAAGGGTATGCCTCCTGGAGCCGGGTGTGCAGCCAGGCAGACACCCCACCACTCGGCGCTTTTGGTACCCTGGTTTCTAAACGGCTGCTGAAGGAAGGGGCTGTGCCAGCCTGCATTGACACCAAGGCTACGTGGCAGCTGCTGGCCCCACCGCTACCCCCACCACTGGCTGGGGAAGGGCAGGAGCGGGGCAGGAGGGGGACCTTGTCACTCCCTACAACTACCTGGAAGGAGGTTGTAGTGAGGTGGGTGTTGGTCTCTTCTCCCATGTGGTTAGCGATAGGACGAGAGGAAATGGGCTCAAGCTGCATCAGGGGAGGTTTAGGTTGGATATTAGGAGAAATGTCTTCATGGAAGGCATGGTCAAGCGTTGGAACAGGCTGCCCAGAGAGGTGGTGGAGTCCCCATCCCGGGAGGTGTTCCAAAACGGGCAGACGTGGCACTTTGGGGCATGGTTTAGTAGGTGTGGTGGTGTTGGGTTGATGCGGGACTGATGATCTTAGAGCCCCTTTCCAACCTTAATGATTCCTAGTTTTTACTTTCATTATTAAATCATTAAAAAACAATCCAGCCCCCGAGCCAGGAAACACGAAATCGTGACTCTGCCTTTAGGTGGTTTAGCGGTGGACTTGGTAGCGCAGGTTAATGGTTGGACTGGATGCTCCTAAAGGTCCTTCCCAACCTCAACGATCCCAGGATCCCGCGGTGCTCGGCGCGG